ATGATAAAGTGCAGCTTCCGTTCACTGTGACGGATCTGAAGGGGCGAAACTTGCAGCTGGTGACGGGACAGTACAGCGGTCAGGTGTGTGTGTGTGTCTGAGATGTTATCATGCACATGCCGAACTCTGCAGGATGTTGTGTGTGAACTCTCGTGTGTGTCTCTCAGTGTGTGTGTATCGAGCAGCTGACGCTGGATTTCGAGTATCTCATCAACGAGGTCATCAGGAATGATGCTGTCTGGGGCTCGCAGTTCTGCTCCTTCAGCGACTATGACGTCGTCATCCTCGAGGTGACCTTATTTGTGCTGTTTTGTGTTTCCGGGTCCAAGCCTCTACTGGCTTCACTTGAGAAAGCTAATCTCAACAGTGGTTTATGAGCACGATTTAGTCATATCACACATTTAAGCTAACGAATATTTTAACGATCAACACGAATACTTTCACGATTAAAGTTTGAATTGCACATTTTTTGGTTCGATTCCGATGGCTTGGCACATCAGAGGGTTTTTTGTTACTCTATGCTCAGGTGACAGGAACTGTAAGAGGTTTAAGGTACAATATGTAGGATTTGTTGCAGTAAAATATCCAGAAACCACTAGGCCAATGTTATATATTTTGTTTATTTGATTACTTACAATATCCCAAATGTTTCCAACTATTTGTGAATCGTGAGAAAATTGCGATTTTAACCAAGGAAACGGGGCGTGTGAGCAGGGGTGAGGAGTCGCCAGCTAATGACGTCATATCCGCGTTACCCTCGGTTTCCTCTAATAAACTGACCTGTGTGAGTATTAATACAGCACTTGCGTGTAGTTCGGTAGAATGAAATGTTCCTTTATATCCGCGGGACTCGCGTGTGTGTGGCGCTGGTATACGTCTCTCTCATTAGCAATCACGCCCTGCTTCACACCAGTCATGTTAAAAACATCAATGTATTTACGCATCCATAAAAGATCCATCAGCTTGACGACAAGATCCATAATTCTGCGTAATGCTTTGCGTCATCAATATACGCCTTTGTTATTGTAAGAGGTTAGCGACCCCCGGTGGTGAAAAACCCTACATATTGTACCTTTAAGGAGAAAAAATACTATTTTTAATGCAAAATTCTTTTCTTTTTTTTTTTACTTAAAGTGTAAATATGTATTGTATAATATAATATATATAATATATATATATAAATTAACTTATATGCTTATATGGCTTATATGGTTGCGAAAGCTCACATCTCAAATCAATGTTCCTGTGGATAGAATGAGTGTAGTTGTCCTGGCGGAACCCAGCTGTCACTCTGTTGCTGCATTGTTCTAGTTAGCATGTGTTCTGTTGTTGCTATGGTGACAGGTTTGCCCGGAGACCAACAAAGTGGTGATCAACATCGGGCTGCTGCTACTGGCCTTCTCTAATTGTGAGGATGAGCACTGCAGGTACACACACGTACACACAAACACACACACACATATTGTCTTTCACACTCACAAACTCTTTCTCACACACACTCTCTCTCACAAACACATATACACACCGGCTCTCTCTCGCTCACTCACTAGGGTGACCACCTGGTTATTGCTCTGTTGCAGGTCAGCAGACCTGATTTTGCGGGACAATGCGTGACACGAGGGAGAGAACTTAGCCTACTATTATTAATAAATATTGATTTTATATTAGATGTCTTTTTGCACTAACATGCTTTAAATTGCTAATATTACGACGCTGACCGGCGCTGTGAACGTCACTAATAATATAAAACAAATTTTAACAGCACGAGTCTATCATTCAATCTAAATAATTAAGTGACAATAATAATCCAATCGCTAAAAACAAAATTTCTAAATATATAAATTCCTTTAGGAAAGAGTAAAGATTAAATGCGTTCTTACCGGATTGAGTGCATCTTGAATTTATATTTTTTGTCTGATCTGGCAGCTTCGGTGGCATACACTGCTGCAATCTCCTTTTTTAGGGTCACCTGTAACTGGTTTTAACCATGTATATTTTTTCTCCTATTCCTTATTATACGAACAAAGACGCTTTTTCTTCTCGGGAGCTCCGGATAGATCAATTTTTCTGTTGCCGTCTTTTCCGGGGTTTTTTTTTTCTCGTTTGTGTTTGTGTGTGTGTGTTTTCTCAGTGTTTGTTTTCCCGCTCTGGTTAGAACCAATAATAATGGCTGCGCCGCGCATGTTCAGTGTTTTCTTATTAACATTTTTTTTTTATTGTAGAATTTTAATTTAAAGGACGATGAAATAAAATTATGCAGACAAAATTCAAATGTGGGACACTGCTTATGACTTGCGGGACGCGGGACAAAGCTTCGAATTTCGGGACTGTCCCGCAAAATGCGGGACAGGTGGTCACCCTATCACTCACACACACACACACACACACACACACACACACACACACACACACACACACACACATATACACACACACACTCACACTCACACATACACACACTCTCTCTCTCTCTCACTCAGACAAACACACTCAAGTATATACACTCTCTCTCTCTCTCTCTCTCTCTCTCTCTCTCTCTCTCTCTCTCTCTCACTCACTCACTCACTCACTCACTCACTCACTCACTCACTCACTCACTCACTCACTCACTCACTCACTCACTCACTCACTCACTCACTCACACAAACACACAAACACACTCTCTCTCACACACACACACACACACACACACACACACACACTCAAAGTGGTGATCAACATCGGGCTGCTGCTACTGGCCTTCTCTAATTGTGAGGATGAGCACTGCAGGTACACACACACACACACACACACACACACACACACACACACACACTCAAAGTGGTGATCAACATCGGGCTGCTGCTACTGGCCTTCTCTAATTGTGAGGATGAGCACTGCAGGTACACACACACACACACACACACACACACACACTCAAAGTGGTGATCAACATCGGGCTGCTGCTACTGGCCTTCTCTAATTGTGAGGATGAGCACTGCAGGTACACACACACACACACACACACACACATATTGTCTTTCACACTCACAAACTCTTTCTCACACACACTCTCTCTCACAAACACACACACACACACACACACTCACACATATACACACATGCTCTCTCTGTCTTGCTCACTCACACACATATACACACACGCTCTCTCTCTCTCACTCAGACACACACACTCAAGTATATACACACACGCTCTCTCTCTCTCTCTCACACACACACGCACGCACGCTCTCTCTCTCTTACACACACACTCACACATACGCTCGCACACACACTCACATATACACAAACACACTCACAAACTCTCTCTCACACACACACACACACACACGCGCATGCTCTCTCTCTTACACACACACTCACTCATACGCTCGCACACACACTCACATTTACACAAACACACACTCTCTCTCTCACACACACACACACACACACACACACACACACACTTTCACACTCACACACGCTCTCTCTCTCTCTTACACATACGCTCGCACACACACTCATATATACACACACACACACACACACACACACACACCTCTCTCTCTCTCTCACACACACACACTGGTACACCTGTCATTATGAGGAAATTCCATAGGTGTGATGGTTTTAAAACTGAGCTGATGATATTTTCTAACCCCTGACCCTAAAAATCACCCTCAGAAAACCGTCTGCATTTGGCCTGAAACCTGAACACACACTACAATCTGTCCTCGTAATGTAGGCCAAGCCAGTACACACAAACACTTTAACCTGTCTACACACACGTCACACACACACACAAAATGAAATGCTCATTAACACTTTCTACTCTGTCTTTGTTTGTAGACCAAAGTCGTATCACTCCAGTCTGCAGGTCAGTTGGGACTTAAACACGGGAGCTTGTCGCACAGTCGGCGTGGGCGACCTCACTGAGGTCAAAGGTCAGACCAGGTAACGCCCTTCAGATGCTCTCTCTGAGTAGACACATGTGTGTGTGTGTCGGGCCCTTCACTCAGATGTGCTCGTGTGCTTGTGTCTCAGCGGGAGTGTGTGGAGCTCCTACAGGAAGTCGTGTGTGAACACCGTGATGCGGTGGCTCGTCCCCGAGAGCAGCTCGCGCTACATCAACCGCATGACCAACGAGGCCATGCATAAAGGTGTGCTACACACACACACACACACACACACGCTTGCATCAATACACCAACGTTTGGACAGAAAAGTTTAAAACTGTAATATTGTGAAATATTAATACCATTTAAAATAACTGTTTTCTGTGTGAATATCTGTTAAAATTATGAATTTCATCATTACTCCAGTCTTCAGTGTCACATGACCCAGATATGATGATGTGATGCTCAAGAAACATTGTTTTGATTGTTCTGATTATTATCCATGTTGTAAACAATATGAAAAAACTTAATATTTGGGTTGAAACCTTATATTTTTTATATTTTATATGCATTGAAACTTTGATTCTTTGATGAAGAACTGCATTTATTTGAAATAGAAATTATTTGTAACATCATAAATGTCTTTACTGCCACTTTCGATTAATTTAATGCATCCTTGCTGAAGTATTATTAATTTATTATTCTTTCTTTTTATAAAAGATTTATATATCTTCTTAATATATTTATATATTTTCTTTCAGATTTATAAATTCTGCTCAGATTTAAGACATTTTCTGGTATTTTAACTTTAAAAAATGGAAGCCACATTTTTTTCCTTTAAGTAAAAATAATAAAAAGGTATTTTAGAGATTAAGAAATGGTCACACCGTGAGATATAGTAAAGGGAGATGAGTTACAGGACTCCATATTTAAAAGGCATTTCATTATTTAAACTAATTTATTTACTTTTAAATTATATTTTTGCCATTTTTATTGTGGGTATTTGCCATTAAAACTTTATTTAATAACTAATAAATTAACTCATTTACTTGACTTCAATTAAATAATACAGTGGTGTGAAAAAGTGTTTGCCCCCTTTGTAAATATGATCAGAGATGGCTGTAAAAAATAAATCTGCATTGTTAATCCTTTTGATATTTTATTTAAAAAATTTGAAAAAATCGAACCTTTCATTGAAGTAAAAGAATTGAAAGTTGGCGGAAAATCACATTATGAAATAAATGTTTTTCTCCAAAACACGTTGGGAACAATTATTTGCCCCCTTTTATTAAATACTTTTTGCAACCTCCTTTTTCCAAGAGACCAGCTCTGAGTCTTCTCCTATAATGCCTGATGAGTTTAGAGAACACCTGACAAGAGATCAGAGACCATTCCTCCATACAGAATCTCTCCAGATCCTTCAGATTCCCAGATCCATGTTGATGCTTCTTCTCTTCAGTTCAGCCCACTCATCTTCTATAGGGTTCAGGTCAGGGACTGGGATGGCCATTGCAGATGCTTGGTTTTGTGCTCAGTGACACATTTTGTTTTGATTTTGATGCTTGTTTTTGGATCACTGTCCTGTTGGAAGATCCAACCACGGCCCATTATAAGATTTCTAGCACAGGCTGTCAGGTTTTGATTTTTTATCTATTGGTATTTGAACGAATCCATGATGCCATATATCTGAACAAGATGTCCAGGACCTCTGGCAGAAAATTAGGCCCACAACATTAAAGATACAGCAGAGTATTTCATTCTACACATGGGGTACTTTTTATACCTGTATGAACCTAACCCATCTTAAGTGTTTGCTGCCAAAAAGCTCTTTTTTTTGTTTCATCTGACCATAGAACGTTTGAAAAGTAACTGACACTACAGGAACTTCAAATGGGACGGGTTCTATGGTCAGATGAAACAAAAAAAAGAGCTTTTTGGCAGCAAACACTTAAGATGGGTTAAGTTACTTAAGAAGGGTTCCCAACGTGTTTTGGAGAAAAACATTTATTTCATAATGTGATTTTCCCCCAACTTTCAATTCTTTTACTTCAATGAAAGGTTAGATTTTTTTCAAATTTTTAAAATAAAATATCAAAAGGATTAACAATGGAGATTTATTTTTTACAGCCATCTCTGATCATATTTACAAAGGGGGCAAACTCTTTTTCACACCACTGTAGCACTTCTAAAAAGTAATCGGATTCAATAATTATGAAAGCTCGTTTCCGCCACAATTTTTTTTATTAAAAATTAAATTGCGACTTTTGATCTCGCAATTTTTGACTTTTTTCCTCAGAATTGCATGATATAAACACTTAAATTGTTTTATTGTGTGGCGGAAACAAGCTTCCGTAAATAATACACGTGTTGCTTGTAACATGTTACCCACAATCCTTTGTGTGATGTTGTTTTTTCTGGTCATTGCAGGTTCTTCTCTCCAGGTGTTGGCTGATAATGACAGAAGCACGTGGATCGTCCTGTGAGAGACGACACACACACACACACACACACACCTACAGACTCTCTACAGTCCAAACGCACTCGCTCTCAGTGTCTCCGTCATGTGGGAGTGGATTATTCAGGGTCCTGCAGATAGAGACTCGTTTGGGCCAAACCGATCCCGCCTGTGTGTCCCGACACTCTGGGACCTCCACATCAGACCTGTGACTTTATGAAACACGCCATCATTCGTCTCCATTCAGATGCAAAACACTGCTGAAGAACTGAAGTCTGTCTCTGTTTGCCCACACACACACACACACACACACACTTGTTTTGATGTTTGATGTTGTGTTTGGAAAGAGCATCAGGACGGTTTGGTGGGCGGATAGAAACAGCAGAGAAGAGACGCTGCTTTGTTGTTGTTTTAGTTTTGTTTAGTTTGTTTCAGGACGCAGTTGTTTACATCGTTAAGTCATCAGCCAATCAGAAGCCGTCGACGACTCCTTCACTTTTTTTAACAGTGGTCGTGGCCTCACAGCTGGACTGGATGAGAATATTGTTTTTACGCAACATTGTTTTACTTTATTTTTGATAAAATTAAATATTCCTTGAATAATTCATGGGGTTTTATGACTTTCATTACATCAAACTAAGCAGTGCTATTTTTGTATTATTTATATACTGTTATAATATTTATTCGTATTTTGAATTAGCTTTTCAGATTTCAAGATTATGTTTTATAATTTTCATTTTAGTCATCTTGTCATTTGTTTTAGTTTCTTTAATATTTCTATGTAGCTTAATTTCCGTTTTAGTCATTTTAGTACTTTTTCAGTTAGTTGCTACTTTTAAGTTTTTCATCTAATATTTCATTTTATTTCAGCTTTATTTCAATTATTGATAATGATTTTTTTTTTTTCCATAGTTTTAGGTAACAATAAGTATTTGTCTTGTAACAAATACAGCACATCTGAACGCAAGAATTTTCTTAAAAGCTTTTTTTTTTGTTTTAAAGGGACACTGAACTTTGAGGCACAATAATACAGATTTTTACATCAATTTCTGCTACAGTTACACTTCAAATAAGGCCATTATGGTTTCAACAGTACATGATAATAAAACTATATCATACATTAGCATAATAAAACACTGGAATCATTTTCATACAACTAAATCCATACAATTTGCATATAGTACAATTAAAGAAACACTGATATATATGTATATATTCAAAAACAATATAAACCTGTGCTAAACTCTGTAACGTGTGCATTCATAATCATCAAGCATATCTATTATTTTATTAAGCGTTTACCCATCATATCTGTGGCATTAAAACTGCTGCCGAATCATTCAATTTGACTTTGAATCCACAGCACAACTATGACGATATCGCTGAAACACTTTCAGAATGATTTTTCTTCCCAGCTGATGAACGATAAAAACACTGACAGCCAATCAGAATCCATCCTGCTTTAACGAGCTCGAGCATTTAAAGCGACAGACGACAAAACTGCAGCGCGCGCTTATAATAAACAGGACGATGTCGTCCGTTAGTGTGGATGCGAATATTGTTATAGTTATCGTTTTATAGTTATAGGTGTGTGAACGTGCCTTAATTAGATACACAATATGCATGACCGAAGCGTCCAATCACTAAACGGCTTTGCTAATAAAAGTGTCCGGTGTGTTTGTGAATGAATCATTCGTGCTCGGCTACAATTGTGTGAAAGTAGAATGAATGATTTAGTGTGACATGAAGAACACTGACAGATGAAATGAATCTCATTATGAACACATGATTCTTTTAATTTATTGTAGTGGTCAATGATTAAACAGACATTGAGCCTCAACTTGTGTGGGAAATGTACATTTTAGCATCGAACTCAACATGAAAACTGTTCTGCAAATGATTGACACAACTAAACTAATTCTGCTCATGTTTAATGAACGAGGCCTGATCGGATTTCAGCCTGAACATTTTTAAAGCATCCTCATGATTGTTTTTCGACATTTATTAATACGGTTTATGGATCTCTAGATTGAATAATCCTCTCAAGGCACATTTTGATCCATTAGCATCAGACAATCCGACCGAATCAAAAAGCATCAAAATTAGACGTCCGATTAAAGCACAACAATTGTATATATTTTCATTAATAATTAAAAAAAGAAGAAGAAAAAAAGTCGAAAGCATGGAAGGACATGAAATGCAAAATCTGTTCGGTCTTCAGTGACTACACTCATGAATATTAATGAGGAACGGGTCTAGGTAAGGTGTGATTGGCTTTGGCAAAGGGTGATTTCAATGGCAGCATGGAGTATCAGAACAGGACTCTTAAAGGAACAGTTCACACAGAAATGACGTCGTCCAAACCTGTATGACTTTTTTTTTCTTCTGCTGAACGCACAAAGACTTTACTTGAATACTTACATTTTTGTATGAACTGTTTCTTTTAGAGTAAATACACATGGCAGCTTTGATTGAGAAAATGAAGGCAATGAAAATGTGTGTGTGTGCGCTTAATTAAGGCATGTGGATGTTACCGTTCTCTAGAAATGCTTCATCAGCTCATTTAGCAGCTCGGGGGTCTGATGCACCTTAGGAAACTCACATGATCACTTTCTCACTGTGTTTACAGTAAATGAACTGAACTTCCTCGAACAATTCAGCGAAACAAACTCTGAAAGCAATGACTGTCGATGTGAATGTAGAATAGATGGGCGTGTGTGTGTGTGTGTTAGTTCTGAGTGGTGTTGTTGAACAGCTCCGTTCTGGCCAGTTTTGTGGGCGGCTCCAGTGACTCCTCCCCCAGAACCACAGAGTTGTCCGGAACAGCCATGTCCTGATCCTCATCCGTCTCATCCGTCTCATCGTCCTCTTCCTCATCTACACACATTCAGACACATGGCATTTCCTGATGCTAGAATGTTCTAGAGAGCTTTGCTATGTGGTTGCTTATAAAATGTGCATTTCTATGAAAGCTCACTCGAAAGCAAGACTTGACATTAACTTTTTTTGCTCACCAGCCACTGTGGCAAATGGTTTCCGAGGTTACTAGCCCACAATTTTGACATCGACACCATGGGGAAAAACTGCCATATAGATATTTTTTATATTATCTTATAATTTGGCAGCAGGTAAATTAGGCTGATGTCACTTTAAGACCTGACGCACTGACTATACATGCGTTTTCTTTCTCAACTGTGTGCGTTCACTTAAAACATAACTTACTGTTTACGTGAATACTCGTCAAGACCGACATTTTGACATTATTTTGAGTGTATTTGACTGTTTAAGTGGAATAAGCAGCGAAAAAGCACTCAATTTAGTACTGAGAGGCGGCTTATGTGCGCGCACTTTAGGTGTGACCATAAAATCTGCGGGAATGAGTAAAATTATGTGCAATCCCACGCCCAAATTCAAACCCTGTAACAACAATAATATTAATCCGCAGCAAATGAAACGAGTGAGTGAGGGGAGGCGGGTTTGTGTGTAACTCGCTGTCGGAGAGATGAGAGATGAGAGAGAGAGAAAGCGCAGCTGGTATCATGTATCTGAAAATTTGTTTTGGAAGCTTTTCAGATATTTTAGTATCGATATGTATCGAAAAATCTATATTTCTGACAACACTACATTGCACTTAGTTTAATATTTCAGATCTCTTTTTAAAAGACTACAATTGAAAAATGTATATACATATATTTATATAAATCAACCCGCCAAAGTAGCTAGTAGGAGTGACTGCGTTACACGCCACTGCTGAAATCGGGGGTTAATGTCAAGCCCTGCTCAGAAGAAAGATGTCAGGCATTTTGATTGTTCTGACTCATCACACACTGTGTGTTTATGTACCTTTATCCGGATCCATTGAACTCTGACTTCTGTTCAGACAGGCAAACTGAAACAACAAACAGGAAGTTAAATCGCTGTATGAACGCTGTATTTGACAGTACGCAAGTGAGTGTGTATGCATACCTCTCCCATAACAGCGATGGGCGTCTCTCCTTTGGCCTGTGCGACTCTGTGCTCGATCAGGTAGTACATGTACTCGTCATACAGCAGTCGGATCAGATGAAACGAGCCGAAACTGGCTGCGCTGCGCAGGGTCAGATCTCTGATCACCATTGAACTACAAAACACAATACAATAGCTAAATACCCCTAAAAGCACACAGTGTGAGCCTGCCATCAGCTTTTTGTTTAATCAGAGAATCAATACACAAAACTGAACTCTGTGTTCACTAGGCTCGGGTATCTATCGTTTGAATTTGAACAATGAACGATTGAACGATTCTGCTTATCAATTCCGATTCTTACTGATTCCTAATTTCGGATGTGTGTGCACCACATAATGGTCATATTGAAATGCACGCAAAAGAATCAATAAGAGGAGTTGGAATTTTTATTTTATGACAAGTATTCGATTCCCAACCCTAGTGATCACTAGGGGTGTGACAATATATCGTGTCACAATATATCGCAATACAAAAATGCAACAATATGTATTGTGCATAGTTCCCCCAAAATAAAATGTATTATTTTCTCTTATTATTATAAGAGTTTTGGTGTCAGTACTACATTAAACTACTATATATAATGTTGAATATAATGTATAATAATGCAATGGGGGAATATTTGTGGGTCCTGATAATGCCAAATGTTACCAGTAAAAGTGGCCTACATTATTTTAAATATATCTAGTCAGTGACAGAGTGCAATATTAAAATAATTCTGTATTTTCAGCTTCAGAATCATGAATATTGATATTCTGGTGTCTCTATTGTCCTGTGCTTTGGGTTTCCAGCACCAAGTCCAAGATATTCATTTACAATGTGTCACCAAATTTAGCATTTTAATCAACAGTACATTTTTTGTTAACTTTTTACCATTTGTCTTGGAGTATCGCAATAATATCGTATCGTGAGTTCAGTATCGTGATATGAGGGTATCGTTACACCCCTACTGATCAGCAAGCAGTTCTCTCACCTGTAGAAGCTCCACTTGAGCAGGAAGAGTTTGGCCGCTTTGGGTAAGGTCTGGCTGTCGGTGTACGGCTTCAGGACCTGTGAAACCACCCCATCCAGCCATGCCGCCCACTGCTCCAGAGAGTTCTGCTGCTGCAGGGTGATCTTAAAGTCCTGCTCCAGCCGCTGGACCATGCCATCTTCACAGCCACACACCCACGAGGCCTGCTCCTAAACACACACACACACACACACACACACACACACACACACACAGATTAAAGGGATAGTTCACCCAAAAATGAAAATTAGCCCATGATTTACTCACCCTCAAGCCATCCTAGGTGTATGACATTCTTCTTTCAGACGAATACAGTCGGAGTTATATTAAAAACCTACCTTTATAATGGCAGTGAATAGCTGTATATTTTTTTAAGTCCATCAAAGTGCATCCATCCATGATAAAAGTAGATGGCCTATTAATTTAAGTTAATAAAGGCCTTCTGAAGCGAAGTGATGCGTTCGTGTAAGAAAAATATCCACATTTAAAACTATATCGACTAACATAACTAGCTTCCGGCAGACGGCCGTACGCATCGATTTACGGCGAAAGAGAAACACTTGACCCGACGCACAACGTAATGACAAGCGCAGAGGATAGAGCAAAACAAAACACCAGTCACGAATTAGAAGTCTAAAACGACAATTTTAAAGGGCAACTAAACCCCTGGTCAGAGCCTGACTCCACCCACTGGCAAAATTTGAAAAATGCTGGAAAAGTGGGCGGAGCCCAGCGGAGATAGAGGGGATGAACGGATACTCTATCCTGATCGTTTTCAATACTCGCAATTCCAACTCCTGACTCGCTACAGTGGTTTTGACGAAACAAGATGGTTTTTATACTGCCATGGACGTGGTAGCTCGTACCAAGGGTGTGGTAAACTGAAACCTGCTTACGTCAGCTCTCACCGCTACCGTCACGAACTACCGCAAACATCCAATAGGAAAATTCAAGTGCAGTAGCCACCGTTCAACCTGAAGAGGGCAGCACTCAGACGTTTTTACACCATATATTGTAGAATTAAAACACTTTATACCCAAATGTCAAAAAAGTTACTCGAATCAATGAACAGCACTAATAAAGCCCCAGTCTTACAGATCATTAATTAAAAAAAGTTGGTTTAGTGTTTAGTTACCCTTTAAAGAGAAATGTCGGAGGAGCTTGAGTTTGTTGCCCAGCCTTGTTTGTTTGAACCGCGAGCGTCAAAGCTTACGCTACTCCTGCATCCTACGTCATACATCGTCAAGTGCTACTCTTTTGGCGTAAGTCGACTTGCATTGGCCGTCTGCCGGAAGCTAGTTATTTTAGTCGATAAAGTTTTAAATATGGATATTTTTTCTTACACGAACGCATCGCTTTGCTTCAGTGCCATGTGGATTACTTTTATCATGGATGAATGCGCTTTTATGGACTTCAAAACATAAACAGCCATTCACTGCCATTATGATGCTTGGAAGAGCCAGGACATGTTTTAATATAACTCCGATTGTGTTCGTCTGATAGAAGAAAGTCATGTACACCTAGGATGGCTTGAGGGTGAGTAAATCATGGGCTTATTTTCCTTTTTGGGGGTACTATCCCTTTAAGACCTGCAGGGAGATCTGAGGATGTGACATGAACAGAGCGAGCTGTGTTACCTGTACGTTGGTGAAGTCGACGCGGTTGAGGTCGCTGAGCATCTGTGTGATCTGAGCCGTGTTCTGCAGGACGGCGCGAGCCGCCTGAGCCAGATGATTGAGAGACGTGTAGCGCCGCAGAGTCTGAGCGAACGCTCCCGCACACACCACCTACACAAAACAACACACACCGTTAGCATGACCACGCCCGAGGACAGAGGCGAGTCAGAGGCACATCTGTGTGCGTGTCAGACCTTGATGCGGACCATCTCCTCCGGGATGCTGATCATGGCGTTAGTGAGCCAGTTCTCCAGATTCTTAGCAAAGTTACGGATGGCTTGAGTTAAGGCACCTACGGGAACAGAGAGAACGTAAGAGTCAAAATAAAGATAACGAGACCTCAAATTCTGCATCCAAAGTACAATTTTTATTTATTTTCATGGTCATTTGCTGCAACGAGATGACTTTTATGATAAGAAAGTGTTGATAATGTCAAGCTGTATTGAGTTCTGTTGAATAGTGTAGAGTTATATCGAATTGTGAAGAGTTTGTTTTTGGAATTGTAAATTTCACTGATTATATCTTTATATCAAGTTGTATAGTGTATGTAAAGTTGTGTAGCTTGTGTAGAGTTTCGGTAGCTATGTATATAGTTTTGTAACTCTTTGGGATTAGAATATTTTTTATAGAGTTTGCGCAACTTACTAGGGATGATGTTTGTATGGAGTTGTGTAAGGTTTCAAAGGGTTGTGTCTTAAAGAATTCTGTAATTTGATATAGTTTGTGTAGAGTTGTAATTCACTGGAATGGTGTTTATAGTAAGTTTGTTTGGAGTTTGTAGAGTTTTGTGATTCATTGGGACTAGAGTTGATATAGAGTTTGTATAGCATTATGTAGGGTTGTGTATCTCAGAGAGGATGGTGATTATAAATAGTGTAAATAGCATTGTGTAGAGTTTTGTAACTCATTGGGATGGAGTTTATATAGAGTTTGTATAGAGTTGTGTAACTCACTGGGAATGGGTTTTAGGAGATCAGGGATGAGGATCTCCATTAGGCTTTGGTACAGCAAGTTGATTTATATAAAGTTTGTTTAGAGTTTGTAAAGTTTTGTAATTAATTGGGACTAGAGTTTATTTAGAGTTTGTATTACATTATGTAGGATTGTGTAGCTCACTGAGGATTGCGATTATATATAGTTTGTATAGAGTTATGCAGAGTTTTGTAACTAATTGGAATGTAATTATATAGTTTGTGTAGAGTTTAGTAACTCACTACGGATATTGTTTACATGGAGTTATGTAAGCCTTTAAAGGGTTGTCTTATAGACTTGTGGAACTTACTGTGGTTGGAGTTGATATAGAGTTTGTATAGTGTTGTAACTTACAAAGGATGTTGTTTATATGAAGTTTGAATGGAGTCATGTAGAATTATGTCTTATAGAAGTGTGTGACTTACTGTGCGTTTACTGCGATGTTTGTTTAAAATTGTGTAGAACTGTAATGTATTGGGACTAGAGTTGATATAGAGTTTGGGTTGGGTTACGTAGGGTTGTGTATCTCACAGACCATGGTAATGGTGAGTGTGCATAGCATTGTGTAGAGTTTTGTAACTCAGTGGGATGGAGTTTATATAGAGTTTGTGTAGAGTTGTGTAACTCACTGGGGATGGGTCTCAGGACATCAGGGATGAGGATCTCCATTGGGATGAGGAACTCCATTAGGCTTTGGTACAACAAGTTGATTTATATAAAGTTTGTTTAGAGTTTGTAAAGTTTTGTAATTAATTGGGACTAGAGTTTATTTAGAGTTTGTATTACATTATGTAGGATTGTGTAGCTCACTGAGGATTGCGATTATATATAGTTTGTATAGAGTTATGCAGGGTTTTGTAACTAATTGGAATGTATTTATATAGTTTGTGTAGAGTTTAGTAACTCACTACGGATATTGTTTACATGGAGTTATGTAAGGCTTTAAAGGGTTGTCTTATAGACTTGTGCAACTTACTGTGGTTGGAGTTGATATAGAGTTTGTATAGTGTTGTAACTTACAAAGGATGTTGTTTATATGAAGTTTGAATGGAGTCATGTAGAATTATGTCTTATAGAAGTGTGTGACTTACTGTGCGTTTACTGCGATGTTTGTTTAAAATTGTGTAGAACTGTAATGTATTGGGACTAGAGTTGATATAGAGTTTGGGTTGGGTTACGTAGGGTTGTGTATCTCACAGACCATGGTAATGGTGAGTGTGCATAGCATTGTGTAGAGTTTTGTAACTCAGTGGGATGGAGTTTATATAGAGTTTGTGTAGAGTTGTGTAACTCACTGGGGATGGGTCTCAGGACATCAGGGATGAGGATCTCCATTGGGATGAGGAACTCCATTAGGCTTTGGTACAACAAGTTGATTTATATAAAGTTTGTTTAGAGTTTGTAAAGTTTTGTAATTAATTGGGACTAGAGTTTATTTAGAGTTTGTATTACATTATGTAGGATTGTGTAGCTCACTGAGGATTGCGATTATATATAGTTTGTATAGAGTTATGCAGGGTTTTGTAACTAATTGGAATGTATTTATATAGTTTGTGTAGAGTTTAGTAACTCACTACGGATATTGTTTACATGGAGTTATGTAAGGCTTTAAAGGGTTGTCTTATAGACTTGTGCAACTTACTGTGGTTGGAGTTGATATAGAGTTTGTATAGTGTTGTAACTTACAGAGGAAGTTTGAATGGAGTCATGTAGAATTATGTCTTATAGAAGTGTGTGACTTACTGTGGATGTTTGTTTAAAATTCTGTAGAACTGCAACGTATTGGGACTAGAGTTGATATAGAGTTTGGGTTGGGTTACGTAGGGTTGTGTATCTCACAGACCATGGTAATGGTGAGTGTGCATAGCATTGTGTAGAGTTTTGTAACTCAGTGGGATGGAGTTTATATAGAGTTTGTGTAGAGTTGTGTAACTCACTGGGGATGGGTCTCAGGACATCAGGGATGAGGATCTCCATTGGGATGAGGAACTCCATTAGGCTTTGGTACAACAAGTTGATTTATATAAAGTTTGTTTAGAGTTTGTAAAGTTTTGTAATTAATTGGGACTAGAGTTTATTTAGAGTTTGTATTACATTATGTAGGATTGTGTAGCTCACTGAGGATTGCGATTATATATAGTTTGTATAGAGTTATGCAGGGTTTTGTAACTAATTGGAATGTATTTATATAGTTTGTGTAGAGTTTAGTAACTCACTACGGATATTGTTTACATGGAGTTATGTAAGGCTTTAAAGGGTTGTCTTATAGACTTGTGCAACTTACTGTGGTTGGAGTTGATATAGAGTTTGTATAGTGTTGTAACTTACAAAGGATGTTGTTTATATGAAGTTTGAATGGAGTCATGTAGAATTATGTCTTATAGAAGTGTGTGACTTACTGTGCGTTTACTGCGATGTTTGTTTAAAATTGTGTAGAACTGTAATGTATTGGGACTAGAGTTGATATAGAGTTTGGGTTGGGTTACGTAGGGTTGTGTATCTCACAGACCATGGTAATGGTGAGTGTGCATAGCATTGTGTAGAGTTTTGTAACTCAGTGGGATGGAGTTTATATAGAGTTTGTGTAGAGTTGTGTAACTCACTGGGGATGGGTCTCAGGACATCAGGGATGAGGATCTCCATTGGGATGAGGAACTCCATTAGGCTTTGGTACAGCAAGTTGATTTATATAAAGTTTGTTTAGAGTTTGTAAAGTTTTGTAATTAATTGGGACTAGAGTTTATTTAGAGTTTGTATTACATTATGTAGGATTGTGTAGCTCATTGAGGATTGCGATTATATATAGTTTGTATAGAGTTATGCAGAGTTTTGTAACTAATTGGAATGTATTTATATAGTTTGTGTAGAGTTTAGTAACTCACTACGGATATTATTTACATGGAGTTATGTAAGGCTTTAAAGGGTTGTGTCTTATAGACTTTCAACTTACTCTGGTTGGAGTTGATATAGAGTTTGTATAGTGTTGAAACTTAGAGGATGTCGTTTATATGAAGTTTGAATGGAGTCATGTAGAATTATGTCTTATAGAAGTGTGTGACTTTCTGTGGATGTTTGTTTAAAATTGTGTAGAACTGTAACGTATTGGGACTAGAGTTGATATAAAGTCTGGGTTGGGTTACGTAGGGTTGTGTATCTCACAGACCATGGTAATGGTGAGTGTGCATAGCATTGTGTAGAGTTTTGTAACTCAGTGGAATAGAGTTTATATAGAGTTTGTGTAGAGTTGTGTAACTCACTGGGGATGGGTCTCAGGACATCAGGGATGAGGATTTCCACTAGGCTTTGGTACAGCAAGTTGTCGCATTCACGGGTCCAGTGGAGGACGGGCTCATATTTACACAACAGAACCAGAACTGACTTGGGCAAACGCTTCTCTGATTCATCATTACTGTACAGACAGAGAGACACATCAGGGAGACTCACATCACAACGCCTGTGACTGTATGAGAAGTCAATACATGTGTGTGTGAACAGCTCTCACAGGTCAAGTGTGTCCGTGTCGCTGGTTTGTCCTTCACTGAACCTCCAGAAGCTCTTCCACAGCGTCTCCACAAGAGGGAACTGCAGGTTTACCATCACGTCCAGAATGGCCTACAAACAAACAAACACACACATTATTCACCAAAAAACACTACAATAAACACACACACACACACACACACACACACACTCACCTCGCAGTGCTCTCTGTAGATCAGCTGATATGTGTGTATGTGTTGAGGAAGGAGTCCGTCCGGCAGAAATTTACCCTCATCCTCGATCACAGGGAACTCCGGCAGACTGCGAGACGCATCTGAGACACACACATTCAAACAGTTGATGTCATTTCCTGTAGAATACGATTGTGTCCGGAAGAGAGAGCTGCTCCTACATTTCCATTTTACAATAACCTGTATAGAGACAGATGTTTGTCCTACCCAAAAACTGCTGATACTGGTGAACCTGGGCGCTGATGTCGGATAGCCCCGCCCCTTGTTGATGCCCCACCCCCAGGCCCATTCCATTGGTCAGTCCTTCAACCTTCTGCACAGGCTTTATTCTTTATAAAGAGACGAGGACTGTCAATCAAACTAACAAAAGCAAGTGATCATCAACACAAACTGTAAACACACACACACACACACACACCTCTGTTTTTGCGAGTACGGCTGTTGTCTCATGGCCAGGTGTTGCTGGTCCTCTACCAGCCTGTGCAGGGGGGAGTTGCTCTTGATTCGAAGGCCATAGTAATGGTACTTCGAGTTCCCTCTGAAATACACACACAGACACACACACTTAATTAGCCTGTTCTACCCAGTTTTATTTTTAGTATCATTGATATACTATTATAGTTTTTGTTAATATTTTTTGATTATTTGAAATTATATTTTATATTTTCACATAAATTTTAGTTAAAGGGTACCTATTATGCCCCTTTTTATTAGATGTAATATAAGTCTCTGCTGTCCCCAGAATGTGTCTGTGAAGTTTCAGCTCAAAATACCCCACTGATCATTTATTATACCATGTTGTAAATGCCCATTTTTGAGTGGAAGCAAAAACTGTTGTATTCAAAAAAAAGTTGTTTTCGTGCATGTATCTTTAAATGCAAATGAGCTGCTGCTCCCCGCCCCCTCATCCAGAAGAGGGCGGAGCCTTCACAGCTTGTGCCTTGGACACTGCCAAAAACTAACAAAACATCTGTTTGCGTTTGATTATCATCTAACGGCCACGCTCATGTGAGATTGCAGTTCTTCATCATCGTGAAAGATTATTATCTGCATGTGCTTTAAAGCCATATAAGCCATAACTTCTGATGTATGGTTTTCTGAGCGCACACACCCGAAGCACGCGCACAGAAAGCTGGATGTCAGACGGCGCATCCCGTGAGTATTAAACTAACTTCTCTTTCACGTCTTATTGCGATTAAATTGTCAAATACACACAAGGTTATGTGACAAAGTTCACATAAACACAGTCAGTTATGTCTATGAACCTAAACAGAATGTAAAGACATCACAATAAGTGTATATTAGATCTGTGTATTAAAGTGAAAGCAGTGTAACATTCAGTACCTACTGTTAAAGTGAATCAAACAACCAAAGAAAAACAGATAATCACTCACTGCTCTTGACTGAGTAACTTTAGTAGCTTTAATAAGAATACATTTCTTACTTGAATGCTGCTGTTAAATGCTCTGGCGAGGAGATAAACTTGCTTACTGAGGGGAGGAGCTAAGCTAATAGGGCAGATTCTGTGCCAGTCATGGGCGGAGCCTGTTACCATGTGACGTCACATTGGAGCACATACCTGAACGGCTCATTTTGAGACACTGTTTCAGATTTTTACAATAGGGTGGTTGTGTTCACACACTGCGGACACATGAAAATGTTCAAAACAATATAAAAGTGAATTTAGCATAGTAGGTCCCCTGAAATGTTGTTGTGTATTTTGGCTTTTTTTTATAATTCTATATAGTTTTTAGTGTTTAGTATAGTATTAGTTTTAGTTATTTTAGTACTTCAAGTTAAACTAAACGAAAATGAGAAATGTTAACTTGGCAACTTGCTGAAGTAAAATATGTTTTTTGTTAAATATTTTAAGGTGACGTAGTTACATTGTACTTACTCAAATAAGTGCTGAGTAATATTAATGAACTACATGTACTTGCTAAAGAGTTATGGTTAGGTTTAGTGTTAGTTACTTTTAATTACGCATAATTTACTGTTATTACTATAGTAAGTACATGTAGTAATGTGTAAACACGTCACCTTAAAATAAAGTAGATTTATTCGTAGTCTTGTTACTGGATAAAAAAAAAATAATGTCTGGACATTTCATTTCAATGAAATTTGACTGTGGGCAGAGCTACCCAGTACAATGAATATAGAAATAAAGCGAAATGTTGCACGTCGCGTGCCGTGTCGTTGCTTGAAGCTTTATTGCGCCACACCTGGTCTGGACAGTGTGTGTGTTTGTACCTGGTGCCGAGACGTCTGGTTCTGAGGCCCATGAACACGGAGCGGATGAGTTTTCCAAAGGAGGCGGCGTTCACAGGTTCTAGCTTGGTCTGCTGGCAGTGCAGGAGGTAATGACAGTAGAGAGTACAGCGAGGAAGACTTACACCTTCAGCTGTCTCGTAGTTATCCATCAGCCACTGCACCTGAAGTCAAAAGTCAAGCAGATATCCACGTTTATTTGTCAACAAAAGTCTGGTGGATGACGCAAAACACTGCGTGAAACTCTCTCTGGGTGAGAATCCGAAGCATAATTCACGACCGTACCACCAATGAACACAAACATACTCACAGTCGCAGGTGAAGCGCGCGTGTTGTGTGAGAAATTCTGGTTCCCTCCGCCGAGCATGTACCCGCCCTGAATCACGTAACTCCCCGCCCCTCCGCCGGTGGCCACGCCTCCTGCCCCGCCCACTTCCGACGAAGCCCCGCCAGTCACCACGGTGATCCCCGAACTGCCCTCTGAGAACATGGACACCACCCCTGTGCCCGTCCCGGACGTCACAGACACAGCCTGAGTGGTGGCGGGGGACGTGACCTGGGAGCCGGTGGTGGGGGAGGTCTCGTAATAAGTGACAGAGGGCGTGGCTTGAGGGTAGAGGGAGGGGTCTGCGAACGAGTAACTATTGGAACGACTGAAAAGGGAAGAGAGAAAGAGAAATACAGAGCAAGGTAAATGTTTTCAGGAGTATAGAGCTAAATATATCCCCCAAGAACTGTGTTTATGCTCACATTGCAGCATCGTTGTAGCTGGCGTCTCCCTCCACAAACTGGCCTGAGTACACATGCTGTACCTACACACACAAACAAACATTAGCGTCACAGCAGACGGTTAAATGGCTCTCGTCTGCATCCGAAGCCCAGATTGTTTCATTTAATTGAGTCAGATATAAGGGCGAACATCACAAAACGTGTCAAATCTAAATTTGCACTTAAATACATTAAACTAAATCCCCATGTTTAGCAGTTGTGTGTGTGTGTGTTTGTACCTCAGGTGTGATGTGTAGATTACTGACCCCCAGTTGTCCACTTTGACTCTTGGTTACGGCCTGAACAACTGACCTCTGCTGGACACAGATCACCACAGTTTATGGATTTACCAGATTATTACGGCTTTGATGCATATAAGCCATATATACACCAATGTACGTGCATTACCTGTGCTGTCTGCACCTGTTGCACTACCTGTGTGGGTACACCTGTCTGTCCCGCCGGAGGAGAACTAGATTCAGAGTCATTTGAGTGAACCGAGCCCTCTATATGAACACAGATAGACAGACAAAAAACAAGTTACATAAACATTAAATTACTGTATGAGATGCTCATTTGCATATTAAAGAGATCATATCATTTAAACAGGATTGTTATTGATGTTGTTCTTGATCAAATCTATTAAAACATACTGTAACTTTAAGAACTCAAAGAAGAAAAAAAAAACATTTGACTCAAAACATCTCTGGAATGATGAGCTCATTAACATAGGACCGCCCACATTTACATATTCAGTAGTCAGCAAATTGTCTATGGTATTGTTGCTTATTTCATTGTTTTATTTCACATGTAAAGAGGTTACCAGTCATAAGAGGTCATTTACATATCGGAATCTTAAAGGTACAGTAGCCAAAATAACCTAGTTTAGTTTAGAGGAACATTCTGGGTTAAAAAAAAGCTAAACAAAATGCAGCAAAAGTTAGACTATGGCCACTTTACACTGCTGAATCTAACATCCACCACATCTTACTACAAAGGCGTATGTGTGTGTGTGTGTGTGTGCAAGAGAGACACACAATGAGAGGAAGACGCACTGAAAAGAAAGATAAAGAGACAAAAAACGAAATGAGAAGGAAACACGTGACAAACCCGCAGTCAGAAAGGAGGAAATGATGACTGTGTAAAGGGGAAGATGCGTGCTAACTTTTACTTAGTACAAAACCTACAGAAGGAAATACAAATATAATATCAATACAGAAGCAGCTAACAAACAACTGGCAAAACAAGCACTCATACTTACGATACAGCACATCCAGACTGTACAGACAGCTACTGTAAAACATGATCTGAACACAGACACACATCCAGCCATCTCTCTTTATATATCACGCTCATACGGGCCGGCCTTGAACAATTAATCTCCACAGATGGGGCAAGAAAGCTCTCGTTCAGGTAAACACGGGTATCAGATTGAGAGAGGAGAAATCCAGCTAAAGAAAGGATGAGGATATGCATCGTTTACTTTACCTGTGGCTTTTATTTTGATTTTCATTCTGTATTTTCCTGTATCCTTCAGTTTATCTCTCTCTCTACTCAATTAAATGATTCTCTGATATCGCCATCCTTCACGTGGTCAGCTTTCAACTACAGCTTTTCTACAGGTGTTTTGCTGCTCTCTTTTTTTCATATCGAATACACGTTCATCTGCTATCTAATTAAAATTATATACTTTTTCTATATTTTACATAGACAAATGTAATTTATGTTGATGTTTTATGCTGAGATTTTAATAATATATAACAAATAAATTAGCAATAAATACATATACATTGATTTTTATTTAAATATAGAAATACAGTACATTTCATTTTCTATTCATTTTAATATATTGCTCAAATTATTACTGAATATACACTACCATTCAAAAGTTTGGAATAATTAAGATTTGTTAATGTTTTTGAAAGAAGTATCATGTTCAACAATGCTGTATTTATTTGATAAAAAATACAGTAAAAACAGTAATATTGTGAAATATTATTACAATTTAAAATAGCTGTTTTCTAATGTGAATATACAGTAAAGTGTAATTTATTCCTGTGATCAAAGCTGAATTTTCAGCATCATTACTCCAGTCTTCAGTGTCACCTGATCCTTCAGAAATCACTCTAATATGATGATTTGCTGATCAAGAAATATTATTATCAACGTTGAAAACAGTTTTTTTTTTTTTTTTTAGGATTCTTTGATGAATGGAAAGTTCAAAAGAACAGCATTTATTTGAAACATAATTTTTTGTAGCATCATAAATGTCTTTCCTGTCACTTTCATTTGAGGTTTATAATCTATCAGGTCTCACAGAACCGTCCTTCTTTCACCATATAAACTCAGTGCGACAGAAAGTCCATCCACACACACTTCTCCAGTCACTAAAGCACACACACTTCTCCCGGCCGCTAAGTAGGCAGTGCTGTCATAACGGCTGCCAATTAGAGCGTTAGGGTGTTTAGTTCAGTCATCAGAAAAAACGTGTGTATGTGCGTCTGTGGTATCCTGATTAATCCTCACTATAATTAACAGTTTATTTTTTTATATACTGTTAATTATAGTGAGGATTATTCACCATACCGCACGTCTGTGTGTGTCAAATTAAAAGCACAGGCACATGTGTGGAGATTTATTTTGAGGTCTTTCTATTCAGGGAGAGACCTAGAAAGTGTCAGGTGTCTGTTAGATCGCATTACACACACTTTTGTACATGCAATGCGTGAAAACTAGTGGCGCTGTAATGGTCTGTCTGCAGGTTCAAGAGTGACATGGAAAGTTAAGTGCATGTGCTCACCAGTAACGGTCACCACTATGTACTGGGCGCTCTGGCCGTTTCCGGCCTGGGAGGCGGGGCTTTGTATCTCTCCTGTGACGTACTGCGGTCCCTGAGGGGGCGTGGCCAAGACTGCTTTCTTTTGAGTGACCAATGGCGTGGCCTGTGCTCTTATGATAGACCCCGCCTGTGATGAAGCGGACCCCGGAGAGCTCTGCATGTCGGACAGGAACTGAGACGTGCCGGTGGTGGACGTGGCTTTCTGCTGGGTCGATGAGGCTGTCGTGACGTTGCCCCCTTGCGACTGGGAGGGTTGAAGATCCTCGGCGGTGTAGCCTGAAGTTGCCATGACGACAACAGCCGAAAATCCCTCTGCAAATAGAAATGAAAAAAAAAACACAGATTAAGCCATGTAGGACGTTAACAGATTTGGACTTGTTGCTTTAATTATAGACCGTGTTGCTTGCTCTGGAAGATATTTCACAATTACATTTGTTTCCTTATGGAAGAACACTTCAGGCAAACCTATTGTTTTCTTCATGCAGTGGTAAATTAAAAAACGCTGATTCATCCAGCAAATTTATAAGTCGACAGCATTGCTGAGTTTTTCCTCCTTAAAACTGCAGTGAACCAAAGACAGTCTCAAAAACACGGTTTGAAATCGCTGGTGTTTCTGACGTCACACACTACCTTGTAACCAATCAGATCAACGAGTGGATCTCTGAGCTGAGTGAGTGAGTGGAGGCGGGGCTCATTTGCATATTCATAGAACCACGTATACTAAATGAGGCAAGGGCGTATTTAGTTACATTCAAGAGTTACAGGATTCAGAGTTACATTCAAGCTATTTTAAGGCATGAAGAAATTTCTTTCAAGGAAAAAACGTTTAAATATGTAATTTTCGATGACTTTTAAGGGATAAAATGATTGACTACTGAGGGACTTTAATGCACTGAGATTAATCGGCTGTGATATAAAAATTTACCCTAATAGTGCCTTATAATAAGGACACACATTTTCATTATATATAAAACATTATTTTATTAAGCAAATTCACAGGCATTTTTCTTCTGGTTTAAATAAATAGTTAAATCTGAATACAGAACATAATATGCATTTAGAATATTTTATCTATTATTATCAACAACAACAACAATTTAGCTAAAAAGTGTTAAGCATTTTGTCTCACTCAAATTCCAGTAGTAGTTTTGTTCTGTTAGATCGCATTACACACACTTTCGTATGTAGTAGTTTTTTTAGACTAAAACTAAACGCATTCTCTTTCCCTGCCACACGCACATAAATCCTTTGTGGATTTGAGCTGGCTAAACTTGTTTAACAGTACTCTCATTTTCCCTCAAATTAGAGGCAACAGGCGGCCCTTGCGTGCCCTGTCTTGTGATATGAAAAGCTCCTGTCAGAATTAGTCAGGAAGCCATTGTGTTAAACAGACTAAAAAGAACCACTCACATTATTAAAATCATGCCATAAAAATAAAACCATGAGCGCATGAAATCCCAACATTCATATCTTCAAGTATGCATCATATATTCTTGGCTATTCTCAAATATTCTGACAAATTTACATGCAAAATGTCACAGAGATACATTAACTAACTTAATAACTAATGATTTTTATCACTGAAATGAATCATCACTGAACTTAAGCTGGACTTTGACACCATTTTCAGCTGCTGTACAGCCAAAAACAAACTTTGTTGCATTATTTTACTGTAATCACAGTAAAGCTGCTTTGAAACAATCTGTTTGTAAAAAGCACTATATAAATAAAGGTGACTTGACATGAGCGTCAACTTTGACTTTGATGAATCTTGTTATAACTTGACAGACCATAAATCTGACTAAACATTATGTGGCATATTATATTATTTTTCTTATTATTATGGTCCATGTGTATATGGTCAATGTTGTTATGTACTGAACTACAAAAGTAATAAATAAATTTGTGATCTTCATGCTTAGTTTTGCCTCAGTATAGTACCCGTGTTAAGATTGTATTGTATTACATAATATTTATATATGCGTGTCTTATTATTTATGACTTTTTTTTCATTGCTGCCAGAGAACAAAGTATGTAACTGGATAGACATCTGTCAATCACGCCCTTTTAAGTTCCCACGCCCCGCCCCCTGCCCAGGACACGCCCCCTCCACTCCCTCCGCACCGGAGCTGATCTGGCACACATATGGCTGTTCGACGACTCCCTCTACAAAGTTTTCAACCCTCTGAAAATACAATTCACGAGTGTTTGATCCTGCGAACGCCTACATTTCATCGTCATTTGCGTTAAATAAACGGAGCGCCGAATAAAGATTACAGTTGAATGCAGATTCACTGTCAAAAGTCGCTCTTTGACATTTGATCCTGAACTGCTCGCCCGTTTCAGTCATCAAGTCAGTTAAACACACTTCCGACGTCACGGTCAGCAACCATAAACAAACAACAACAAGTAAAAGTCACACACTCTCACGTTACAACACCCGCCATTTTGTAGCGCTCGAGAAGATTTGACATCGTCATAACAACCGCCAGCGCGTGCGAGAGCCGCGGGGTCGAGTTGAGGAGCGATAACTGAGGAAATCGCGTCAGGCACACTTCAGCACTTGCAACACAAAACAAGAGGAGGTTGCTTAAATTAAAGTTGTTGCGTTCACCTTTCGCTTCTTGCTGGACGATCTTAGTTTGGCGCGGAGTTTTATTTTCTTAATGCCTCAAATTGTTGTTGTTGATTCTCGTTGCTGGGTTCTTGTCGCCACGACTACCGTGACTATGGCGCCTCGTCCTCACCGGGGCAACTGTTGCTACCCACCCGTCTAAGCACCGCCCTCTTGCTTAGCAGCGATTGGCTGCGTGTCGCCAAGGAAAACGGTGTTCTCTCTTCATTATTGGATAAGGCGAGTGCCTATAACAAACTTACATTGTCATTCGCTGACAGTTGCTGTCAGTCGAGTTGCTCTATTACGCAAGAAGTACACGCCCCCTTTGCGTTCATTCATTGGATCGCAATTCTGTCAGTCAAACGTCACGGTCAACTGTTACCCAATCAGAACAGAGTCTTGACGATTACTGAAGATAAAATAAAAGTTAAACGTTATAACCACACACAGCTATATATATATTATATATATATATATATATATATATATATAATGAAAAATGTATCAAAATAGTGTGTACAACTAGAGAAAAATCATTTATTATTACACAAAACGGTATATATCAAACAGTTTTTGAAGATCAGATGGCAACACCATGGAACTTATATATTTGTGTATTATATTATATTAACGTACTATTTGCAAAGTAAATATAATCCAAAATACTTTAAAGCTACACATCTACAGAAACATGTAAAAAAAAAAGCATAATACTTTTTCATATTTCTTCCATAAAACAAGACAGAAATTAAGACTTGTGTCCGAATATTGTACCCTGAATAAACAAATTATTCTCAGTTTAAGTCTCCAAATGTTTCATTTTATTTCTAATTTCGTATTATTTTAATTATAGCTATGCATGCAGTGTGAGTCCATTAGCATATTAATCATAAAACTATAATTTTTCACTGAGGTCAGACAGGCAACCAATTAGCCCATTTGCTGAAGGCTCATCCATGTGCTGTTATCTCTGTGAATGCCAGTGTCTGAATCATATTCTCCAGACTTTCTTATCTCATGACTGTATGATTAAGAAGAAACGGGCTTTTGCTGATATGCTTATAAGCCGGTTTCTGATTCTAAATAACCACTCGCACATAACCATCATTTTCCCACATCCATATCCTCGACCTCTTCTTATCTGTCTGAAATGTCACCGGGGCTCTTTGTGTCAGGAGAGGTCAGATAACCCAGCCTGCACCCCATAAGTTTTCTATTCTTTAATTCTTTATTGTGTATTGATGGAAATCATGTCCTGGGTTTCAATTTTCTGCTTATGAGGAAAATGTATGGTCAAAGTGTACCATATTTAATGTTTCATTAACTTTGTAAATAAGTTTTCTTTATAATTTATGATAAACTTTTATTTACTCAGTTTAAAGTATGCATGAAATGGAAGTTGAAATAGCCTTTTCTTCCCTATTGTGATGTATGTGCAAGTGTAACACCTTCTCGAACAAGAAGAAATGTAGGGCGGGGCTTGATTTTGTAACGTCTGAATTTGCAAAGAAGACGATCCAGATTCAAATATCATTTAAATGTATTAAACAGAATCCACTCAGGTACATACAAAAGAAAGAGTCCATGAAACGGTGTGGATTGCACCAACAATACCAGACAAATGAATGAACGAAACTGAGAGACTTAAATACACAGGGATAATGAACAGACTACAAACAGGTGTGATCGGTAAATCAAATAACCATGGTGACAAACAGGTGGGAAAATGGCGGGAAAATGAGAACAAAGGAAACAATTAGCAAACGGAGGGGCTGTTTACATGACACCATTTTCAACTAAAAATGGAAGACTTTTTATGCATTTTGGCCGTTCATTTACATGACAACAGCGGTTTGGGGGCCTTGCAAACTTTTTAAGTTTACGGTCTCTATGTGAACAAAAACGCAAATCTGTGAAAACGATGACGTCATGCACATGTGTATTACGTGTTCAGTCTATAGTGTTTCATCACCGTCTAATGGCCTGGCAGCAGAATACAGCGTTTTTAGTTGTTTTGGCGGATCCGTGTCAAAACGATCCGGATCGTTTTGACAATGGGATCGTCTGTGCGCGAAAAAACTCAAAGGAGAAACTTCTCCGTTTTAAGCGTATCGTTGTCGTGTAAATATATACCCTAAGAGTCTATGAAAATGAGACTAAAACAAACTGAACTGAATGCGACAGAAGGGAAGAAGGGCGAAACCAGGGCGGAGCTGATGGTGGGAGTAACCATGGAGACAAAGACTTAGGCAGGATCCAGAGAGCAGAATCCAGGATGGCATGGATAGGAGGAGTGGCCATATGAGGACCCAGAGCGCAGCCAGGAAGGATGTCCATGGGGGAGTGGAAGGAGGGAGGAGCCATGATGGGACAAACCAATGGAGGCGATGCTGATGGAGGTGGAGCCCTGGGCGCGGACGAAGAGCTGATGGGACAAAAAGTAGCGACGACCTCCTGAGGTGGAACCGGGGCGCCGGAGGTCTGAGTGACCGAGGGCCATGGTGGAGCCGGAGGGAGGGTGGAGCCAGACAGGGCCTAAAGGGGGTCGCACACCGAATGAGAAGCGCAGCGCCATGTCTTTAAAATTCGAACACATTATTCTCTATGAGTGTGTACACACACCGGCGGCGCCATTCGGCGTCTGTCCGCAGCGCCCAGCTACGGCTCAGGACCTTGTTCAAAACCCTGCCGCGCCACAGTTGTAGTTGTATAGTTGTATATTAAATTTACATTTATTTGTCTCAAATCGTCGTTAATGTACATACTGACTTCACCCTGTGCTGCAATACATTTAGTTTTACATTCATTTACAGAAATCAGCAGCTAGAATTAAAATTGCTTATGTTCGCGGATTTTCAGGTGATATTCTCATAACGAACGCTCTGAGGTAAAGTGTGTTCAGACTGAAGACATAGCAACGATTGTATTAAACTGTTCAGTACAATCATAACATAGCACAGACATTATCTTAATTCCATAATGTCTTTGAACATAACAATATTGCTGGCCATAAACTGAGAAAGTGCGCGTCCGGTGTGCGATACCTCGAGTTGTCCTAGACGCGATGAGGCGCTGCGCTTCTCGTCCGGTGTGCGACCCCCTTAAGGGGTGGAGAGATGGAGCGTAGTGGGCGGCTCGTGCTCTGGCACAAGGATGGAGACATCCGACTAAGGTGGAGCCGGAGGAATGAGGAAGCCTGGTGTAGCCGTAAGGCCGACGGTCCCAGGTGGAGCCGAGGGAGGGAGGAGCCAAGGCGGCGGAGTCAGGGCGACGGGCCAGGGACGGGGTGACCGGATCAGCGGTTGGAGACGGAGCTAGGGGATCCACTCGCCCAGATGGAGCTCATAACGGCAGGATCATGTTCGGACAGTCAATCGTAAAGGACTATTATAAATCGCACAGTGTGCACCCGGCTTAAGACAAACTGAACTGAATGTGAATGTGACAGATTTTGTCCATGGGGAATTGATTGGATGGTTGTGGTTTGCTATTGGTCGATCTCATGTGAGTGACAGGTTGTTCCGCCCTCACGAGTAAAGATTACGAGGTACATTAACTAAACAAATGATGATGAAACAATGATTAAATAATTTATAATAAATACTGCAATATTAAATAAATACAATGGTCCATTTTTATTTATTCATTTAATTTGGAAATACAGTGAGGACATGATTATTAGGTATTTAACATTAATGCTGCAATAAAAACAGGATTTTCTTTATTTAGGATCATTAAAATAGACATTTGCATGTATCTGAGTGCCTGTGCCGATGTGTGCGATCAAGTTCGTAATTCAGTGGCCATTTTGTGCGATTAGACGGTGTGTATGGCGTCAAAAAGGTCAGGAGTAATCAATGAGATCAGGTCGCCTCATTCGACATCTCCCCCATAAAGGTGCGCTGGGCCGGGGCTTTGTTTTCCTAAAGGTCTTACCCTACTATCACAGTCTGCCCTGCTGACACGCAAACAACGCAGGCTCCATCAACCCCTATAAAAGACACACCAGGCTGCCGCTGAGGCGACGTTAGACCCTCTTTCAAACCAAGAAGGACAACATTTCCAGCTCCTCAAACTTCCTCTCTCCTCCTCTTCCTCATGTGTAGAGCTGCAGTTCTCACACTCGGCCTGTTGGTGGCGCTGCTGTATGGAGGCGCTCAGGCCACAGACGGGCTCCCGATGTACGGAGTGAAGCTGTGCGGCAGAGAGTTCATCCGGGCGGTCATCTTCACCTGTGGAGGCTCGCGGTGGAGGAGGTCTCTGGATGTCTCAGGTGAGATATATGAAGAAAGCAGAAGTTTTATTTATGTCATTTTATTATGTACTTGTTCATTTCAATACAATTCACACAGTTAGGGGAACCCACATTTTGTTTCATGATGCAAGTTATAGCCTATGTAAGCGCGCGCTCGCACACACACACACACACACACACACACACACACACACACACACACACGTTTTCACGTTTTATGGGGACTTTCCATAGACATAGGCCTAATGATTTTTATACTGTACAAACTGTACTACTACATCTCCCTAAAACATGTCCTTACAAGGACAAGGATTTCGGATATTGCCATGCTGGTGGACACACAGACACACACACACACACACACACACACACACACACACACACACACACACACACACACACACACACACACACACACACACACACACACACACACACACACACACACACACACACACACACGACATTTGATTTGATCCCATAATGTAGGGTTTACCAAGACCACACACTCAGAGTTGGAGGACAAACTGAATCACATAAAATCCACAAATTAAATTGAACTAAGTATTAAATATGATCAAACTAAATAATGTAATGAGACTACAGCAATAAACACATACATAATTTTTAACATTAACAATTATCATTGATAACAATATTTAAATTAAATGATTATTTATTATATTATTATTATTACATTTTTATTATTAATGTATGTTCATACATATGTATGTATTGTGTATATTTATATAAATATATATATCAATTATTATAGATAATAAGATATATACAGGAGTATTCTGAAATGAGGAGGCAAAGTTTTTAATGTTTTTATTTTTTAATAAATCAAATGTAAATTAATTTCCCAGTTACACTTAAGGTTGTCACATTTCCCTGGTTAAATAAACATTACACAAAAAAATAAACCAAATAAATGTTTGAATTTTTACATTAACAATGTTATTAAAGTCCTATTTATTAAAACCAAGTAATGTCATCAAGTCGGTGTTTTCAAGCTTTTAACATTTATTCCAACATAGCAACTAAAATCTTTTATTTGTGAACTGATGTTCAGCTACTTAATAGTACTGAATCATCAGTCATCAAGCACTTTAAAAATCTGATCACTGACCAAAGTAACAGCAGGTCTCCTCAACAAGACACTGATTTGAGGAATGTCTGTACAATGTCTGTACATATAAGTTCAGGTTTGCTGTAATAACTAGCACTATACGCAGTAATAACAGTGAGATCTGTTCCTCCATTGTTCTCGGGTCAGGTGACCTGTCCAGTGACCCGCTCTCCACTCACGACGACGAGGCGTCTGACAGCTGGGCCGCCGACCCCATCCTCCTCCCGGGACTGTCCCACAGACCCCGTCCCGACGCAGAGGGCCTGGCCTGGGCCGGACAGGGTCAGGAGAGCCCCGTGTTCAGCCGTCCCGCACGCTCGCTCATCTCAGAGGGCGTGCTGGAGGCCTTGCGCACCTCAGACCGGAAGGGCCGGGACGTGGTGGTCGGGCTGTCCAACGCCTGCTGTAAATGGGGCTGCAGTAAGAGCGAGATCAGCTCGTTATGTTAAAGAACTGCACGATCCCATTCCTACACCCCTTCCACTTCCATCCCAGCCTTCCCAAATGTGAAAAATGAAGAGGTTGTTCCGATGAAAATATTCGTGTCATATGTGTACTGTAGCAGATTTTAGCCAAAGTGAAGCCCGTTACCGTGTTCATAATCATCTCTTCATCTCTATCTTTGTATGTTCTTGTGTGGTCTTTGATTTAATAACAGCAAACTGGAATAAAGTTTTGATTGCGATAGAGTTCATTGTAATTTGGTTTATATCGAATCATTCAATATAAAGTTTATAGAGTGCACACTTCAATTATATGCAGTACAATAAAAAAATATCTATGGAATTACTAAGATATAGCTTAGCCTAAAGCATTTATTTTATTTTTATTTATCCCTTTATTTTTCCAGGAAGGTCCCATTGAGATTAAAATAAATTACCATATTAACATGTATGTAGTGAATTCTGTACATTATGCAAATTAAGCTGTATGACATACAGTTAAGCTGCTACAATTGACTAAATGTGTATTATAGCCTACAACAGAACACACTGCACTGGACACTGTATCCCACAATGCAATGCTCTCAGAGATATCTATCTTTTTTTGGTGGGTCATTCCTGGTATTTGGTGCCCTTTGTCCATCATAAAAAGCAGCAAATCAAACTCAAGTTTTTCGTCTATAGTCATGATAGGGTGATGCAAAACATTTGAAAAAATATTCTGGTCAAGCTGGGGTAAATAAATTGAACCATTTATTCAACAAAATAAATGAAATGGAGGAGCAAAAATGTCCACCCTGTTAGGGACAGATACTTTTAAAAAGTAGTACATTATTGATACTCTAGAAAATTTTCAATATCACTGAATTATTAGGTTTTTTTTGCTGATTTTATGAAATTATTGTAAAAAAGAAAAGAAATAAAAGCTCAACAGGGTGGACAAAATAATAACAGGGGAAAAGTGGTATAAAGAATGGGTGATTTCCTATGGCTCACATACAACCAATAACATTATTACTTTAGTTTGAACTGGATTTATTTCCAATACGATAAATGGACACCGGTCAGTGAATTAAACTTAAAGAGATGGGGATTTAAAGAATATGGGTAACCAAACAGATGATGGGCCCCATTGACTTCCATAGTATTTTTTATACTATGGGAGTCAATGGGGTCTATCAACTGTTTGGTTACCAACATTCTTCGAAATATCGTCTTTTGTGTTCAACAGAAGAAAGAAACTCATACAAATAAATGATGACATTTTCATTTTTGGGTGAACTATCCCTTTAATGAGGCCACGTGACCATCTTGTAGTATCGCAGTATGCAGTAAGCAATTCACTACTAGTATCCCATTCTGAGCATAGATCATGATGATAATACCATGGTATTCTTTGAGTACGATGGGATACCATGTAAATACACATGAATATAGTAATAATCACACATTATTATGGTAAATCACAGTACCATGATGATACTTCTAATGGAGGCCAATGAACCTAAATGACCCATTATTTCACCGTTGTCTCCATCTACAGGTCACAGCATGAATAGCAGTTATCTACAATTAATTTAAATCCACCACAAAAGCTTCAATAACAAAATATAGATCACAATTAATGTGTTAGTGACGATATCTTTTTTCTCGTATAAAAAAAGGGTCAGTACTTAGTAGTAGTACCGCTTCTTGTAGTTTTATGGTAACGAGATATGACGTCAGTGTAACGGTACGGAAGCCGCGCAGATCCAGACTGCGCGATTAACGCGTCCGCCATGCATCAGGCGCCGCCGGTGAAAGAAGAATAACAGCAAGCACACCGATTAAATCCCGCAGAAATCCCGTAGAAACCCGCGGCGAGCCATCCGTTACCGCGACCCGACGTCTATCAGCGCTCGTGCCGCGGCAGAGAGATATAAACGCAGATAGACGGACAGAGAGAGCCACTGACTGAAGGTGAGAGCGTTTGGCGGGTTAGCACAGCGGCTAACGGCTACATCAGCGTCTGTGTGTGTTTATTCATCATCTTTACACACGCTCAACACGCACATATAACCGATTTAATGCGTTTTATTTCATGTGTGATCGGTTAACGCGTCTGATGTAAGCTGGGGAATTGGGTTAAACCGGGCCGCGTAAACACACACACGGCCTACACTCGTACACACAGAGATTATAACTGTTACACTTATACAAATACACAACACACAATAATACATACACAAATACCACACATACTCACTCACGTAGACACACACATAAACATGTACACACCCTCACACACGCTACAGTTGGATCATACACACACTCAGTCGTATACTCAATATATATTTATATACTGAGTATATATATAACGTTATATATATATATATATATATATATTCTGTCATATATATATATATAATGTTTGTGTGTAGATATGTAGAGATAGAAAGATAAAGTCATAATATAGCTTATATCCCCTTAAATAGATAGATACACACTTATACAGTTATACAAACAACATACATTGATGCATTTAAAGGGATAGTTCACCCCAAAATAAAATTTCTGTCATTAATTACTTGCCTTCATGTCGTTTCAAACCCGTAACACCTTCGTCCCTCTTCGGAAAAACAAATAAAGATATTTTGAATGAAATCTGAGTGCTTTCTGTCCCTCCATTGACAGGCTACGCAACTACCAGTTTCAAGCCCCAGAAAGATAGTAAAGACGTCATTAAAGTAATCCCTGTGACTCCAGCGGTTTACCCTCAATTTTATGAAGTGACACGAGTGCTTTGTTCAATTATAATTTACCACTTTATTTAATCTTTTCCGCGCGTTCGACGAGAGCACCACGACACATGCGTGTTGTTGACTCGAGAGCAGACGTTACTTGGACATTTTTTGCTCAAACAAAGCACTCGCATCACTTCACAAATTGAGGTTAGACCACTGAAGTCACATGAATTTCTTTAATGACGTCTTTACTACCTTTCTGGGGCTTGAAACGGCTAGTTGCGTAGCCTGTCAATGGAGGGACAGACAGACATCTCTCAGATTTCATCAAAAAAGATCTTAATTTGTGTTCTGCAGATGAACAAAAGTCTTACGGGTTTAAAACGGCATGAGAATCAGTAAATAATGACAGAATTTTCATTTTGGGGTGAACTAATCCTTCAATAACATTAGTGCACAATGGGTCCAAAAGTCCACATTGAAACTTGTAAAAGAACGTTTTAGGAATTTGAAAACTGTGAAACAAAGCAACAACATCATCATGAATGAAGAAATTTGAATAGTCTGCACCATTTCTATGTGACTAATCAAATGAGTGGCTTTGATCATGTGACTCTTTGTACAAATGGTGGTCATCCATTGAAGCCCAAGATGCTGGAGAACATGATCAAATTAATCTTTTCACATGCAGTGTTAAGAGTGCTGGGAACCCGCCGGTTCCTTCGAGACTTTCCTATGGGGGTTTATAATGGGGGTTTTCAATTTGTGTAAAATGAAACCTCTGGTTAACATAACATGACGATACTTTGACTTTATCATCTACAACGTAAATTACACACACACCCAAAGTGAAAACGCAGTCCGTTTTCAGTAAGTAACTAGATAAGACGGCTTGGGGTGGGAGTGTGTGTAATTTCCATTGTAGAAAACGTCAAAGTATCGTCAAGTTATGTTTATCACATGCTATTTTTACATAGGAAAATCTCGACGGATTTATTCTGACGTCATCCCTGCACCCTCTATATAGTACGCAATGAAACACGTGATATTAAATGAGATAAATGCAAAAACCCAAGCATTTTCATGAGTGTTTGCAGACATTCGGATGCACCGAAGACTCATTCACACACGGCCCACTCGCACAGCCTCCACGCATACTCACACTCTCGTCTGCCTCGATCCCAATTAAACCTGATCAGATGGTAAAGCTGATGTGTGAACGTCCCGTCCAGGTGCTCAGGGTGGATTAGCCTGCTTTCAACAATTAAAACGTGCTTTAAATCGGGTATTTGGTCTGAGTGCATGTGTCTGTGGATGATAGTTTTGTGTGTTGTTTGCTCAACTGTACCAAGAAAGCAGTGATGTTGTTTCCCAGGAGTGTGTGTGTGTGTCACTCATCTGCCTGTGTTTTCTGTTGTGTGTGTGTGTGCAGCACAGGATGGAGTGGCAGCCGGATGAACAGGGTTTACAGCAGGTGCTCCAGCTGTTGAAGGACTCTCAGTCTCCAGATACGGCCACACAGAGAGCCGTTCAAGAGGTCTGTGCACGTCATCTGATCAATATCAGTGTGATGATCAGTTATCTGACTGTGAAGCTCATTTGTTCAGGTTATCGCTAAATGAAATGTGAAATTTAGCTGTTACAGCCGAATGAATGGCAGGCTTGTTCTCAACACTGGGCTCTTGAGAATCAAATGTTTAGTATCTGTGTGGTCATTTTTGGGTTTTCGTTACGGATGTGTACAGCAGTCGTGGATCATATTGCCAAAATAAATCCCAATATTTTTCATGTTTTCAAAGAAATTATACTTCAATTTAGCAAGTATGCTGCAACTTCAAAAGTGACAGTAGAGATATTGTTACAAAATATTTCTATTTCAAATAAATGATGTTCTTTTGAGCTTTATATTCATAGGAAAAGTATCAGCAAATCATATTAGAGTGACTTCTGAAGGATCATGTGACACTGAAGACTGGAGTAATGATGCTGAAAATTCAGCTTTGATCACAGGAATAAATTACATTTTAACTTATATTCACATAGAAAACAGTTATTTTAAATTATAATAACTTTTCACAATATTAATGTTTTCACTGTATTTCTGATCACATAAATACAGCCTTGATGAGCAGAAAAGACTTCTTTGAAAAACATTAAAAAATACTTACCGTCCTCCAACCTTTGAGCAGTAATGTGTATCTTTGTCTGTAAATTCTCTAAAAATATATATATTTATCCTATTTCAGCTGAACACTCATTGTTGTCATGCAGCTTCACAATGGTCAACAAAGAAGAATATTTAATAGAAGAATATTTGGATAAAAGCATCTGCAAAATGAATAACAAAATATTTCTTTCATATGCACCAATATAACAATTCATAGTATTATTCAGTGCTATATACCTACATGTTTTTTCCTACAAAATGTGAAAAGCAATGCAGAGATTTGAAATGCATCAGATTCTTGATTCGTCATTCGTTGAATCTGACCGTAAATGAGTCATTTGTGGAAATGAATTGAACTTCTTCACTCCAATGCCATTTTTTCTTTTCTTTTAAGGATTAAACCAGAAAAACGAACTACTCTACAGGCATGGGTTTTAGGGAATAAATAGTCCAATAAAAAAAGTGCATTAAATATATCTATGATTTAATATTTACTTCGAAATGTGCAAATATTAAGATCTGAAATCTAGTGGTAAATGTTTGTTTCCAATTTCCAATTTT